TATATATATATATATATATATATATTATCAAAATAATCAAAGTAAATATGAAAGTTGATATATAAAAAATTAAGATTTACTATGAATAATTAAAATTTGCATTAAAGGAACAAAATCGAAAGAAAAAATTATCCTGTCTTTATTATATTTTACTTCATTTAACATGAACTTAAATTATTTATAATCTAATAAGTAAATATAATTGACATTTTTGTATATCAACTTTTATATTTATTTTAACACAAAATTTTGGGTTTTAATTTTCGAATCGTTAAAAATCCTTCTCGCAAACATTGTTTTTATATAAAATGAAGCTATTTGCAAAATTTCAACTAAATTGGCAGATTTTAAGACAATCCATATCATTAAATAATTATATTAAATATATATAGGGATAAATTAATACGAATTTGGACTATTGAAAGCGAAGAAGAAACAGATTCCGAAATTACCATGAAATTTCAAGAAAAATCTTACAGTCCATTAGATGGTCATAAATATAGCATAAATCACGTAGAATTTAGTCCTTGTGGTCGTATGCTTGCCTCCTGCTCTTTAGATGGAACAGTTGTTATCTGGAATACTGAGGTAATAATATATTTAAATAATAATTATCAATGTTAAAATAAGAAAATAAGAATATGAAATATTTTAAAGAATAACGAAACATAACAACTTTTCTTTGCTCCATTTCATATAACTTTATAAATCATAATTAAACTCACTGTTAGTGATGCTTTTTTATTACTTAATTTCTCGTAGGATGGCTGTCAAGCAAAATCTTCTTTCGTAAATTCGGGATCCGGTATTCGCGTTTGTCGATGGTCCCCGGATGGTACTAAAATTGCTACCGCTGGAGATGATGAAAGAACAACATTATGGAATGTGGATAATATGGAGGAACTTTGGTATAAAATATTTTGAATAACACCAATGACTGATTGAAATCTCAATTTTGGCAATTTATGTCAAAAGAAAGATCACCATTACAAATTCCAATTACTAAATAAAATTAAATATATGAGGAGATGTTTCTTAATAATTCTGCTGATAACATTTTCTAATAATACACATCCATTCTCTTTTCCAAACCCCCTAAAATCTGCTAAATTTCATTTCAATCAATCATCGATGCCTTTCCAAGAATAATTTCCAAGTTTTTATATTTAAAGTAGAAAAATCATATCTTTTTTTTCTGTATTTTCTATTTAGAAATGTACAAGTATTTAAAATTACAAATTTGATTCAGGTCGGAATTTTTTTGGATTCGGATCGAGATCTCGAAAACTTATTGATCCATATTCAGATATTCATTATTTCGAGATTCAATTTTCGATTCGAAATCTAAAGTTTATTTAAAACATCAGAATATTAAGCTTGAAAAACGAATTATTGCTATTATTTTATAACATTTAAATGCTTCGACTCAAGGATTATACACTGAAAAGACGCATAAAAAGCCTGTTTCATTCAGGTCTTCCAAATGTATTTGCCATTAAATTTTTAAGTAAAGAAAATAATATTGAAAATAATATTATTTTATTTTAATTTAGAATAACAATACTGTCAGAAAAATTTTGTTCTAAATCGAATAAAAAATCAAGTATATATACAGTAAAGTATGTATTAAGTTATTATTATGTGCAGCGTTTTCAGAGGCCACTCCGATGCAGTGAACGCGATTGCCTTTACACCTGATTCTTCTTATTTAGTCACGGCTTGTAACGAAGGTACCTGGAGATTATTTGACATTGTGGATAATAAAAATTGTGCGGCGTTAATTATTTGTGGAGAAGCTCATGACTTAGGCGTACAAGGGTGTGACTTTAGTCCATCATCTGATTTTATATATAATAGTGAGCATTATAAAATATTATGAATTAATATTGATGTTTATGTATAATTGTCCTTTGTAATTTATCATATTATCTTGAATTACAGGAAGGATAAATATAAATAATGATAAACACTTTTATCTACTAGCAACTGGTGGCAATGATTCAATGGTTAAATTATGGCAAATAACAATTGGTAAACAAAATGTAACTGCAACAGGAAGCACTGGCGATGACATACAATATAAAGAAAAAAAACTTTTACCGGACATGGTGGCAATGTAACTTGTGTTCGATTTTCTCCAATTCACAGCGAAATCTTAGGAAGCGTAGCTACCGATAGAACTGCACGAATATGGAGTATAGTAAGTATGATATTTAGATCCCTTTTCTATCTTTTATAACAAATAAATCTTTCTTTTCCAAAAAAGAAAAATGACAATAACAAAAAAAGGAGAAAAATAATATCCAGATATGTGAAAAATTATTTTGCATAATTATTTATAACTTAAAAAATTATATATATAATTTCAGTACTCTGGAATGTGTTTGTACGTATTAGAAGAGCACGAAAGCCTTGTAACTGCTTGTGCATTTTCGGAAGATACATCCCTTTTTATTACAGGTTTGGATTATATTATTTTATCCAATGTACATTTTTTTGATTAATTTTTTTCTATATAAATAAATTATTTCAAATTATTAATATAGGCGCTCTAGATAAAGCTGTCTTAATTTGGAAAATACCTCAACAATTAATTTCACAAAATATATTAATGAATAATTTAAAATATAATAGAAAAAAGGTATCTAAAATATGATATTGTATGAAATGATATTTTGTTTAATAATAAAAAATTATGTTAATTATTAACATTTTTAATATTTAACATGAAAGGTTATAGATTGGAAGATTGATGATACCTTAAAATGGTTAGACGAAATAGGCTTATCGATGTTAATTAAAAATGCTTCTGCGATTTCTTTAACGGGACGTCAGTTATTTTCTTTATCGGAAAATGAATTAATAAAAAAACTGCATATAGAACAGGATGATGAGGTAGAGTTTAAAATAATTTATATTTTTTTCTATTACTCATTTTATGATAATACTAATTGTGCACACAATTGCAGACAGCAGAAGCACTTAAAACACAATTATATTGGTTGAAACGTGAAGATGATAATTCTATAGAAATTTCTATAGACGATACCGAAATACCTCACGAATTTTTATGTCCTATTACACATGAAATAATGAAAGAACCTGTTCAATGTTCCGGTAATATAAATGAAAATTATAATTAAAAATTATTAACAAATGATTATTTTAACGAACATCTTAATTTCAGATGGATTTACATATGAGAAAGCAGCTATAAATGAATGGTTTTTATGTGGAAAATATACTAGTCCAATGACAAATAAATCTCTTCGAGATACTTCATTTACTCCAAATATTATACTTAGGAACGCGATATATACTTTTCTTCATGGAAATCGACCACAACTTTAAATATTAATAATTGTTAATGATTAATTTAAATCATAATTGAAAGTATGTAAAATGAAAATATTTATAACAATTTTCTTTTTCTTTTTTTTTTCTTTTGATTAATATATTACATATCTTTTTCTCAATCACTTGACACAATTCTTTTTATCACAATTTAATAAACTTTATCAGAAAAATTGTATGCACTCCCATAAATATATATGTAATGCTATAAAAGAAACAAATTATAAATGCGCACAAAAATTTATTATACAAATATAATCAAGAAAATCGATGAAATCGATATACTTAAATACACTTATGTACATTTGTGATAATTTTATAAATATCTATTAATAAAAATTTTAATTATATACATATAATATAAAAATGATGTTTTTTTTTCAAAAATAGAAATTAATATTTATTATCGATATTTTTAATATTGAAAATTAAAATATTCGATATTTTATATAGAAAATTATTTGATTGATATTTTTAAACCAAATAAAAATATATATATGTAAGTTTAAAATAGAATGTTATTGTTTATAAACAATTCGGAAATAGATTCTTATTACTATTATATTACTATTAATATTCGAGCAATTAATATTGAAATTGTTTAAAAATAGGATAGTCATAGAGAAATATATGATTCAAAATTGCATGAAAAAAATCGAATTCATGTAAAAATTGAATAGCTTTTGAATGGGTACTATTACGTATAGTTACAGCACTGTTGAATCAAAGCAAGTGAGTAATATCAGCATGACGACAAAATGTCGTACAAACATTCTTGTCATATATTTTTTTATATTCTATTTTTCAAATTTAAAATCATTCTCGAAACATTTCTAGATGATTTTGTCTTCACAAATATCTACATAATTTTAAATTGTATAAAAAATTTATATTAGAAAAAATACAAAGTTCATACCTTAATTCTTTTGTTAAATTATAATTATTTTTTATAATTAATCAAAATTATCAAATTGAATATCTATTGATATTCATATACAGAGAATTTTCTTCTATTAAAATTACATCTATGTAATTTTTATGTAATTTACGTAATTTATCATTTGATTTTTGTCCAAAATTATACAATATGTTATATTTTTTTAAAACTGAACGTGATAAAACAATTCTGCTTTTAAATTCATTTTTAGAATAAAAAATTTTATCAGAATTTTGTAAATATTGCAAATTTAAATTTATGTTATACAATGTAATCTATCGAAATATACAAAATAGTATAATATAGTGATCTCTTCAAAGAAAAACCAAAACTATGTAATTCATCGAGATTAGAAATCAATATCAAGTGCGTAAGAATATAATATAATAATTTTTTCATTTTTCATATTTTCATATTTTTAAAGACTAATACTATAAAAATTGATAAGTTATTATGAATAGAATGTAGTTAAATTTTCAATTATCCATATTATATTATTGTTACTATCTTACATGGCTTATATATAAATGAATATAATTTTTAGAATTTATTCTTCATTTTTTTTGATTTTCTTGTTTTTAACTAATTTATTTTAATCATTATTTTAACTAAACATATTTTAAGATTTACTAAAAATTCTAAGCAATAATAATTTGTTAAAAATTCACTTTCATCTTGATTATTTTTATTTATTTTGATAATATTGCAGTAAAACCGATGACTATATAAATTCTTTGAAGATAACTAGATTGAAAAACTTACGCTACGATTGGAGCGCTTGTGTCAGACGTGTACATATATACGTTCACTGTAAAAAGATACGTATTGTGTGTCTCTGACGATAAATAACAAAATGGTTAGTATTCTTATATACTTTCTTTTCTTTGCTTTTTTACTATTTTATTACAAAAAATGTACTTAAACAAAAGTAGCAATAAAAGAATGTGTCATATTTTCAGGCATCTTACTCAGAGGATCAATTAGCAGGTAAGTAAATACGAATGACATTTGCGATATCAAACAGAATAAGATTAAAGAGGGACGGACAGATTGTACTCGATGTTCAATTTAGGTCAAGAATATCGTTTACCTTATTAGACCCACCCTGGTGACATCGATTTACGTGTCGGTGATTTCCTTTTATGGTTAGGCACCTGAAAGAAATAGCAGCAGGAAAGAAGAAACGAAGACAGAAATCGAGTAGCATTGCGTCGTAGCGTCTGTAGAGCCTTTATATTTCGTTTTAAATCGTTTCCGAATATTGTTTTATTAGTATACTTGTGTTGTAAACGAGATATATATTGTGCTAAGAAAAAACAAATTTTAGTTTATTTATTAATACTCTATATTATTATTCTTGCTTTGAAAATGAAACATAATATAGTATAAATTTTTTTTTTAATACGCGTATTTATTAATTGTTTCGCTTCTTAAAAGAAGAAATCTTTTTTATTTCATACTATTTATATGCATATGTACCTACTTATATATAAAGTACACAATGTATGGTTGTAGTTATCAAGAATTAACTAACAGAATGATGTCATCAATTGAGGGTAAATAAATTTATTATTTATAGAATATATCATTTTTTAGATATAATAAATAATAATAAAGAATAAATACTTCTTTACATATTTATCTATATTTATTCATTTCATATAATTATAATAATTATAATTATAAAACTTTTTATTGCGATAGAATTTCAAGAGGCATTTCAACTATTTGACAGCCGAGGAGATGGAAAAATTCATGTAGCTCAAATTGGTGATGCATTACGTGCTTTAGGGCAAAATCCAACTGAATCAGATGTCAAGAAATTTACTCATCAACATAAACCTGATGAACGTATTAGTTTTGAAGTATTTCTACCAATTTATCAAGCTATAAGTAAATCTCGAACTTCTGATACTGCTGATGATTTTATAGAAGGATTACGTCATTTTGATAAAGATGGAAATGGTTTTATTTCTTCTGCAGAATTGAGACATCTTTTAACCACACTGGGTATGTAAAAATATTTTTATTTCTAATTATTTGATTATTTAATTATTTAATTCAGTTTGTAATTTACAAACTAATTATTTTTATTTTTTGACAGGTGAAAAACTTAGTGATGAAGAAGTTGAAACTTTATTAGCTGGTCATGAAGATTCACAGGGTAATATTAATTATGAAGATTTTGTTCGTCAAGTAATGTGCGGTTAAATTTATACTTTAATAGATACAGTAATTATTAATCAGAAAAATTTTTATCTATTATAAAATCTTTTATAAACATTTTTTATCTTTTTGATTTACTTATATTGTATTTTTTTATTATTCAAAATTATGTAAGATTATATACATAATAGTTACCCCAATTATTTTATATTAGAAATGTAGAATATCAATTTTCTTTTTTTTTTGTTTATTTGATGTAATGAATATACATATATTGTGCCTTGATGTGAGAAATTCATAAAAAGGTATATTCAAAGTCAAAACTAATATAAAATTTAAAGAAAAAAAAATTCATTCCCGTATATATAAAAATTTTTTAATATTCATGTAATTAATTTAATAATTTAAGTAATTATTTTTAATATTTGTTAATAATTCTTCGTTTCTTTCTTTTTATTTTCAAAAATGTTAATTATAAACGTAAAAAACTGTATTCGAAAAAAATAAAATTTGTTAAAGATGAAATTTAAACATAGAAAAATTTAAAACAATTTTTTTTTTATATCTAATTATTTGAAATAAAAAAAATAATAGTATGTAATGCTGTTATGAACCCAGAGACTAAATTTAAATAAAAATATACATGTTAATTTTCTTATTAAAGTAGCTTTTTCATTCTCAATAATGTAAAAATTTTTATAACATGTAAAAATGTTAATATTGGTACAAACATTTATCATCGTGTAAATTAAATATTACAATAAAAATATTATGAATCGATTTAAATCGAATCGATATATATCGAATCGAAACAAATCGAGTGAAGTCGACATTTAAGAAGGAGCGCTTCAGTATCGTTGCATTCGCTTGAGTAGTACGGTTGCCTTGTGTGTTAGTAATTCTACGATAATTTTTTATCAAATAGTAATCGCTAGTCTAGCGAAGATTTCATTGTGAGAAAGTAAAATTACAACCGTCAAAATTTTACGAAGAAAGAAATATGAGTATTAATTCCGGCCTATCATTAAGTAATTGTGAAAGTACTAAAAAAGGCATAATAATGCCAAGTTTAATATCCAGCAATTGGTAAGTAGCGACTACTGCGCCATTTGTCTTTATTTCATCACCGCCATCTTACATTCTATTTATTGGTATTTATGTATTCTTTATTATTTTTATTAGTCAAATACTTTTTAAAAAAATATGTTTAATAATACATTTTCAAAATAATTTTTTTTTCATGAATAAAAATTTTATCACAAATATATTTAAACAATGAATTTTAAAAATTCACAACAATATCTTATCATTCTAAAATCTTTAAATTTATAATTTGTTTTTCATGTTTAAAATTATATTTTTTTTTATGAAGCGCTTGTTATATTAAACACATATTAAATAAGTATAATATTTTAAATTAAAATATTTTATACAATAAAAGACAATAAGAAAAAAAAAGAGATAAAAACTAAATAATAATGAAATTGTAATATATTATTTAATTTTTCGAAAGTAATATTTATTCTATTATACTATGTATACTGCCACGTGAATCATGAACATCCATTGCGTGACGTAGAAACAACACGTATTCATCGATACATTATACATATCAGCTGTTTTCTCTATGCGTATAAAGCATAAAAATATAATAAATAAACTTTTTTCTTTTCTATTCTATTCTATTTTCTATTTTATTTTATATTATTTTATATTATTTTACATATATGCATGCTATATGCGTGCATTCATATATGTGTATATACGTATATATGTCAAAGTTAAACGATAAAGATTTCTTACATAATTCTTACTGTACTTATATATATAGACATATCAAATTAGTAAATATAGAGTAAAATCAGGATATAATTTTAATAAGATCAGTAATTACAATCAGAAAATTATTAGATAAAAATCATTTTATTTTGATGATAATTACTTATCATTTCATTTCATTAAATATTTATTTTAAACATGCAAAAACTAATTTAATATTAAGAATTTTACTCAACTATTTCATTATTTTCATTTCACAAAAGATAATTAAATAAAACTGAATAATATATGTTAATAAGTTTGTTTAATATTTAAATTTTTTTCTCACAATTGCATATCCATAACATTACTCTTATATTCGTATATTTTCGTAGATAATAGATCGCTGCATAACAAGCAATGATATATTTAATTTTACGAGCATATATAAGCATACATATATAATATATTATAATTAATAATTAATAATTATATACAATTAATAATATATTATATATTCATTATATATAATAACATAATAATATATTATATAATATTCATTATACTTGTATATGTATTATGTATTATATATATAATATATTATAATTATTATATATTAATTATTTATATAAATATATATTATTAATTATAATTTTATTTCGTAAATAATTTTACTTTAAAATCAAGAAATTTTTAATAGTATATATGAAAATATCTTCTTTTCTTATTAATTATATTTATTATAATTATATTAATTATAATAATAATATATTAATTATAATAATATTTTATTTTTAATTTAATGAAATATTATTATATACGTATTTAATTTTTAAATTTTATGATTCACTATTATATGAATATTTCAATGATTTTGTGTACACATACATAAATATATAATAAAAATAAGATTTTAAAAATATTTAAAAAACATTACGAAATGAAATGAAAAAATATATGTATAATTATTTTCTTTTATCTATTTATTGAATTATTTATTTGTTATTCAATATATAAATTTATTATTTAAAAATTAATAAAATTATTTTTTTAATTTTTGAATAATAATTTTATTGTAATATTGATTTTTTTATTATTGAAATTAATAAAAAAGAATTAATTAAGAAGAAGAATTAAATATCTAATTTTTACTGTCAACATGATAAAATTTAATGAAAGTCTTTTTATCTAAAATATATTTAATATGTGTAAAATATTAAGTTGGTTTTAATACATGGAATTACAGTGACATGTCAAGTAAATGTATGGATGAAAGTTTAGAAGAAGGATCTAGATTTCAACAGCATTATTGTATAACGTTGGGTGTGGGGCCTCTGTGGTGGTCCTGATGTGCCCCATGCCGCATTGTCTGTATCTACAGTCAACACAGAGAGCCACGGTGTGGGGATCAAGCAGAGTCAGCTCTCTGTGAGCTCCCATATTGTACAAGTATATATCCTTAATTATTAATTGTTTTTACTATAATGCTGTATTTTATTATTATTATTTATTATTTATAATATTGATACAGTATTGATTATAATATTATTGAAATATATATTTAAAATCATAATAAAATAAAGCTTATTTCTCTTTTATAATATTATTGTTAATTATAATTGTTAATTATAAATTGTAAAACAACAAAGTTTATAAAGTTTTATATAATTTATATAGTTTTAAACTTTATTTAATTTACATAATTTTAAACTTTTTTAGGAGGATGAATTATTGAAAGCTGTACGAAATAGCGAATCATTGCGCTTAACTTTTACTTTGCATTTGACGGAAAGCACATCTGTCGAATGGGAAACAGTAGTATGGCGTCGTTGTCTTTATATTCGCGTGCCAAGCTGCCTTTTACCTGAAGGTTCAAAAGAAGGCTTCGTTTCTCTCCTGGAGTATGCTGAAGAAACATTACGATGTATAAATATCATCATTTGTCTGCGTAAAGACAGAGCGGATCGAGGTACTTGTCGTCAACCGTTCTTTGACTCCAATGAAAATGATTATGAAGGAAAAAATTTCTCGTCTAAAACATTTTGTTGTTATGGTTTAGCAATGCTGGTTCGTACCTTCATGTTTTTGGGCTTCAGTGTCCTACCGCCGACTCACTCCTTGGTACCACCAGGCAGTGATGCTGGCAATCTCTACATGCTCTATGCCATCGAGTAGTCAGCCAGAAGCTCAACTTCTCTTTCAAATTTAACGCACAGGTTATTTTT